ATTAAATTGTACACCCAATATAACCCACACTTTGTATCAAACCCTGCGTCTACTTTAAAGATGTTGAAAACACTTAACGTAAATTATAATCAAGAAAATTGCTATACACTACAGCTCTAGAGAGGAAGTGGAAGTGCAGAATGTCGCAAGCGTTTTTGAGGGTTTTTTGTTGCTATTTATAGAAACAAATACACCAGCTATTGATTTATAATTCAGCCGGCAAAAACCTAAAGCACCTAACCGTACATCAATAATTTTCTAGAATGAATTATGCAAAGTTTGTATTTATCGGAAAGCCAAACCAATTCTTACGGAACAGATTTCCTAGCCGGCAAACCAGCGATAGTTGTATACTGGAGAGCGGCAATTTAGACGCCCAGGCAATTTAGACGGAAACTCCGAATATTCGCATTTTGCGAATATTCGGTCATCTCGAATATTCGCATTTTGCGAGTATTCAGACATCTCGATTAGACGGAAACTCCGAATATTCGCATTTTGCGAAATTCGGTCATCTCGAATATTCTCATTTTGGAGCATTTGAACATCTCGAATAGACGGAAACTCCGAATGGATATTCTCATTTTGGAGCATTCGAACATCTCGAATAGACGGAAACTCCGAATATTCTCATTTTGGAGCATATTCGCATTTTGCGAGTATTCGAACGTCTCGAATAGTCGGAAACTCCGAATATTCGTATTTTGCGAGTATGGGACACCTCGAATATACGGAAACTCCGAATATTCGCATTTTGCGAGTATTCGGACACCTCGAATAGACGGTGGTCTCGAATATTCGCATTTTGGAGCATTCGAACATCTCGAATAGACGGAAACTCCGAATATTCGCATTTTGTCGAATAAAGGGAAAGCTCCGAATATTCGCATTTTGCGAGTATTAGGACACCTCGAATAGACGGAAACTCCGAATATTCGCATTTGTCCGAATATTCGCATTTTGCGAGTATTCGGATACCTCGAATCGACGGAAACTCCGAATATTCGCATTTACCTCCGAATATTCGCATTTTGCGAGTATTCGGACACCTCGAATATTCTCATTTTGAAGCATTCGAACATCTCGACCGAATATCGACGGAAACTCCGAATATTCGCATTTTGCGAGTATTCGGACACCTCGAATAGACGGAAACTCCGATTATTTGCATTTTGCGAGTATTCGGATACCTCGAATCGACGGAAACGAAACTCCGAATATTCGCACTTTGCGAGTATTCGGACACCTCGAATAGACGGAAACTCCGAATATTCGCATTTTGCGAGTAATCGGACATTCCGAATATTCGCATTCTGCGAGCATTCGGACACCTCGAATAGAAGGAAACTCCGAATATTCGCATTTTGCTTGAATATTCTCATTTTGGAGCATTCGAACACCTCGAATAGACGGAAACTCCGAATATTCGCATTTTGCGAACATATTCGCATTTTGAGAGTATTCGAACATCCGGGATGCTCGAAAATCTCGAATATTCGCATTTTGCGAGGTCGACGGAAACTCCGAATATTCGCATTTTGCGAGTATTCGATCATCCCGAATATTCGCATTTTGTGTGCATTAGCATTCGAACATCTCAAATAGACGGAAACTCCGATTATTCGCATTTTGCGAGTATTCGAACATCCCGAATGTATTCGGATACCTCGAATCGACGGAAACTCCGAATATTCGCATTTTGCGAGTAATCGGACATCTCGAATATTCTTTGGAGCATTCGAACATCTCAAATAGACGGAAACTCCGATTATTCGCATTTTGCGAGTATTCGAACATTTCTCATTTTGGAGCATTCGAACACCTCGAATAGACGGAAACTCCGAATATTCTCATTTTGGTCGAATATTCGCATTTTGCGAGTATTCAGACATCTCGAATAGACGGAAACTCCGAATATTCGCATTTTGCGAGTATTCGGATATCTCGAATAGAGGTAAACTCCGAATATTCGCATTTTGCGAGTATTAGGACACCTCGAATCGACGGAAACTCCGAATATTCGCATTCGAATATTCTCATTTTGGAGCATTCGAACACCTCGAATAGACGGAAACTCCGAATATTCTCATTTTGGTCGAATATTCGCATTTTGCGAGTATTCAGACATCTCGAATAGACGGAAACTCCGAATATTCGCATTTTGCCTCGAATATTCGCATTTTGCGAGTATTCGGACACCTCGAATAGACGGGAACTCCGAATATTCCCACTTTGCAAAATTCGGTCATCTCGAATATTCTCATTTTGGAGCATTTGAACATCTCGAATAGACGGAAACTCCGAATGGATATTCTCATTTTGGAGCATTCGAACATCTCGAATAGACGGAAACTCCGAATATTCTCATTTTGGAGCATTAAATACGAATTTTAAGCAAATGCAGCGCTTTACAATTGATCATCATCTTTGCTTATGTTTAGAAGGTAATACGAGAGAGTAAGCGAAAGTGTGAAAGCTAAAAGTTGCGAGCGTCTTTGGATGAGCTTGCAGTTTTGGCTATTTACTGCTGTATACATAGACGACCTCGTGATACCGC